GAGAACGTATACCCATATCCTTCAAAGAAGCAGTTCAGAAACAGAGCAGACAACGGAGAGCGAGCAACAGATTCGGGAGGTTTCCACCATGGCGCATAGAGAAGATTGAGACCGACAGGGCAATCGAGGCTGGGGAAGAAGAGATGATTCACATTGGGAGGAGGAAGGCAATTTTTTCTAGGAGAGAGGTGGAGGAGAAGACTTCCATTTTCGCTTTCATCCTGGTTTAGGGATTAACAGGGAGGGAGGAGGGAGAGGTTGGATGAGTCAGGGCTTCAGGCCAAGAGGGGCTAGAAGTTTTGGGACCATAAGAGGAGGCTTTGCTGGAAGGCCAGGTCGCAGCGGAGCACATCATGCCGGGCGGTCGAATCTGCCCAGTTATGGCCAAAGGGCAATGGACAGCGGTACTGGCAGGGCTGAGAAAACAACAACGGGATCAGGGAGCAACAAGGGAGGCACACTTGTGAGCCGATGGGATAAATCAGCTGAAGGTTCAAGGAAGGTTTTGGGAGGAAAGAAGGAAGCATGGCAAAACAAGGCTGGGGATTTAGGAGCATCGGTGACTGGAAAGGAAGGAAGAGGGAAAAATGTGGTAGGAGAAGTTGTCAGCGAGGGTGATGCAAAGGATCAGGAGTTCGATCGACCGTTGTTCGAGGACAGAAACAACAAAGGTGAAGGCGTAAAAGGGGCAGCGAAGAAGGTATGTTCCAAGTGCTTTGAAAAAGGTCATGTGGCTGATGATTGCGTGGTAGAAGTCTATTGTGATATTTGTGACTCTTTTGATCATGTCAGTCACAAGTGCCCAGTTTTGAAGCTTCCAAAACCGGTGGTTCAGGCTGTTGGTATGGTGGAAGGGTTAGGGTTCTGTAATATACCACATCAACCGTTACAGAGAAGTAAGAAAGGGACAAAGTTGGCCCTTGTGCATGTGGTGGCCGGATCCTTGTCCAAGGAGAGATTGGTTGCACAGTTGCAAAGGTTGTGCCCTGCTAAATGGAAATGGGAACCCGTGGAGCAGGGAAAGGACTCTTTTGTGGTGCTTTTCCCGTCTAAAGGGGAGTTGCAGCGGGCAATTAATTTCGGAGGCGCTGAGGTGAAAGAAGGAGGAGTGGTGACTGGGATAAGAATGGAATTCAGAGAATGGTATGAAAAGGAGGAGGGATATCTGTTGCCCAAAGTGTGGGTAAAAGTGTTTGGTTTAAGGAAAAAGCTAAGGGAATACTTGACCTTGTGGGTGGTCGGCTCTCTTTTGGGGGCAACTCAGATGGTTGACATGAAAACCACAAGGAAAAATGACTTTGGTTGAATTTTTATTGCTGTTCTTGATCCAAAGATTATTCCTAGGAATATTGATGTTGTGATTGCTGATCATTATTTTGAGCTAAGATTTGAGGTGGAAAAGAAAGGGTTTGATGATAATGGAGATGAAGTGGAATTCCATTTCGAAAAGGAGGATGGGGATGGGGATGACGGTGGTTTGGACAACATGGAAGATGGGAAGGAAAATGGGAATGAAAAAGAGGGAGACCATATGAGAGATATGAATAGTGGCATGATCTTAGATGGGCAAGATGGAGGCTCAAAGGAGAATGGTGACAAAATGACAGAACAAGAAGCTAGAGTCGAGGAAGAGGAGGAAGAGCTGAAGAAAATGGCAGATCAAATTATTGATGTAGTTGTGGAAGATATGCTTGGAGAAATTTATGATCGGGTGGCAAGAGAGGGAGAGGAGCAGGATTTGGGCAATAGACAGGGGCAAGAGATGGGTGATGGGCTGCAGGAGAAGGTGGTGTTGATGGCAAACGTTGAGGAGGTTATTGTGATGCCGGTTCGTTCTAGTAAGAGACTCGCGAATGGTGAAGGGATACAGTTGCTAGAAAAGGCTGAAAAAAGGAAGGCCCGAAAGAACCTTGACTTCTGCTCAGGTAATGAATCTGAGAATTCTTTTCTTTCTTTTTCACATGCACATATAGTTGATAATCTAAGTAAGTTAGGACTGAACCTAGGAGCCTCTAGCGATGTTATTTCAGATTCTGTTTTTTGTTTAAAGGAGGGTGAACTTGACAGGATGGGGAGGTTAGAGGAAAATTTTTTAGGGGACCACCCTTTTACTGATGAGGAGGAGTGTTCAGTCTCGGGTGATGAGCAGGAAGTTTGTGATAACCATATTCTTGACCATTTATGTGGGAAGGTTATGGAAGAGGTGATGGATGAGGCGGATATGCACCTAAGTTGTGATTCTGATTATATCCACATCAATCATCGTAAAGGGTGTAAGAAAAGTGGAAATAAGTTGAGACGAAAGGGGAGGGGTTTTAAGGTCGGTAACAAAAAAGGGTCATTATGAAAGGGATTTTCTGGAATAGCAGAGGTCTCAAAGACTTGGCTAAATCTAGGTTTCTTTCTGAGTTATCTAAAGAGCAAAAGCTAGACTTTATTGCTCTCCTAGAAACAGGTAAAGATAAGTTTGCTGATTCATGGTTAAATAACATCTGTGGAGGGAAATATTTTCTTTGGCATTGGACTAGACCAAAAGGGAGAAGTGGAGACCAAAAGGGAGAAGTGGAGGTATCTTACTTGAGATAAATTTAGAACTCTTTGATGTCACTAGTATCGATGAAGGAGAGTTCTATATTAAGTTTCACTTAAGAAATAAAGAAGATGCGTTCCAATGGAACCTGGTGGCAGTTTATGGGGCTGCACAAGATGAATTTAAGCAAGATTTCCTTTTAGAGCTGGTCAATTCTTGTAGTAAGGAAGCTTTACCAATGGTAATTGGTGGAGATTTTAATATTATTAGAAATCCAATGGAAAAGAACAACGAGCGATACAATGATAGATGGCCCTTCTTATTTAATGTTGTCATAGACAGTCTTAATTTGAGGGAGATCTTGCTCTCAGGATGCAAATTTACTTGGGCCAACTCTATGCCGAACCCAACTTATGAAAAGTTGGATAGAGTTTTGGTGAGTACCGAGTGGGAAACAAAAAATCCGTTAGTGACAGTTCATGCTCTTTGTAGAGACCTTTCGGATCACACACCCTTGGTGCTAGACACAGGAAAAGGGACACATAGAAATGCTCAACCTTTGTTTAAATTTGAATTGGGATGGTTATTAAGGGATGACTTTCAAAATCTTTTGGTAGAAATTTGGTCAAAGGATATTCAAGGGGCAACAAATATAGAGAGATGGCAAAATAAGATACGCAGGCTTCGTCAATTCCTGAGAGGATGGGTGAAGAATTTAAGTGGTGCGTATAAAAAAGAGAAACCTCGACTTATAGCAAAGGTAGATGAGTTGGACAAATTAGCTGAGACCAGGATCTTGACTAGTCAAGAACTGGATCTAAAAAATTCCTGTAAAAATGCCTTAGCCCAGTTGTTAAGAGAAGAAGAAGTTAAATGGTATCAAAGAGCAAAAACAAAAAGAATAGTAGGAGATAGGAACACCAAGTACTACCATATGATCACGAATGGAAAACACAGAAAGACAAAGATTTTTCAATTAGAACAAGAAGAAGGGGTGATTAAGGGAGATGCACAACTCAAGAAATATGTCACCAATTATTATAGGGGTCTTTTTGGAGCTCCGGATGGAAATTGTTTCTCCATGTGTGAATCTCAAAAGGATGATATCCCTCAAGTGTCAATGGAGGAAAATACTTTCTTAACAAAAGAATTTACAGAAGAAGAAGTGAAACATGCTGTTTTCCAAATGGAACATAACAAAGCTCCGGGGCCTGATGGTTTCCCAGCGGAGTTCTATCAAGTGTTCTGGGAAGTAATTAAAGAAGACTTAATGGCTGTCTTTAGAGATTTTCACAGTGGCGAGTTACCCCTACATAGACTGAATTTTGGTATCATTACCTTGCTTCCGAAGAATAAAGAGGCAAAACAGATCCAACAATACAGGCGCATTTGCTTACTTAATGTAAGCTTCAAGGTATTCACAAAGGTCATGGCAAACAGAATTGCTCTAGTAGCACAGAAAGTCATAAGACCTTCGCAAATTGCTTTTTTAAAAGGTAGAAATATTATAGAAGGGGCCATAATTCTCCATGAGACATTGCATGAGATGCATAAGAAAAAGTCAAATGGAGTTATTCTGAAACTCGATTTCGAGAAAGCTTATGATAAGGTAAATTGGAATTTTCTTCAACAAGCGTTGAGAATGAAAGGTTTCTCGGACATTTGGTGCAAGTGGATTGATCAAGTTGTGTCGGGGGGTAGTGTAGCTGTGAAGGTTAACGATGAGATAGGCCACTTTTTCCAGACGAAAAAGGGTTTGAGACAGGGGGATCCCCTCTCACCAATTTTATTTAATTTGGTAGCGGATATGCTTGCCATTCTCATCAATAGGGCTCGAGACCTTGAGACTCTAAATGGAGTAATTCCTCAATTGGTAGACAATGGTCTCTCAATCTTGCAATATGCAGATGATACCATCTTGTTTATGGACCATGATTTGGTTAAAGCTAATAACCTAAAATTGGTACTAGCTGCCTTTGAAAGGTTATCGGGCTTGAAAATTAATTTTCATAAAAGTGAGATGTTTTGTTTTGGGAAAGCTAAGGAGGTGGAAAAGGATTACACCACTTTGTTTGGTTGTAAGATGGGTACTTTTCCATTCAGATACCTAGGCCTTCCTATGCATTTCAAAAGACTGTCAAACAAAGATTGGAAGGATCTAGAAGATAAATTCCAGAAGAAACTCAGTTGTTGGAGAGGCAAGTTTTTGTCGTCAGGAGGAAAGCTGGTGCTCATTAATTCAGTGTTGAGTAGTCTGGCAACATTCACTAGTAATATGCACGTGCTAACGCTACGACGATATTTACCAATGTATTGTAACACATTTTAAAGAAAAATTTCTTTCACAAAAGAAATTTATTGTCATAATATAGTTTTGTAGATAATTATATACTTTGATTCTTATCTCCATACAGTGAATAGCAACATGCAGTATATTATCTGTTTAAAATGTAATCCCCAACAATCAGAATTAAGAAATCAAATCTCAATTTTTCAACCAGCAAACATATCAATAAATTGCATGATCTGCACTTTTTATCAGTAAAATCAACTACAAAAATCACAAATGCCAACAACACTTTTGCAGGAAGACAGAGCATGTGCAACCAGTGTTATTGTTAATGGAAGGAGACTTCTCGTCTGTATCACAAGACCATTCTGTTGTAGCAACAAGAGACTCGCTGATCATTAATAAATAAACAACTCCCAACACCAGAATTGTGACCTAAAAGACCAAGTAGCAACCCGCGGCAATGCTTCTTCCAGCCGTTCTTGTTTTCCCAGTTGAAAGCCTATGTGTTGAGAACCTTGGAATCCTTTTCGCGCACCTGCAATCAGGACAACAATGAATAAGCAAATTAAGCTGGAGGATGCATTACAACAAAGGCCATGGAGTTAAACAGGTTATACAATAAAGCAGTAGTTCTAAGAAAATGCATTTAGTTACCTCCAAATAACCATCTGCCAACTCCATCTACTACACTTAGCCAACCGTCAATAACTATCTGCCAACTCCATCTACTACACTTAGCCAACCGTCACAACTTATGAGCTAAATATACATTTTCACCACTTGTATGCACCTTAAGATTAATAAAGATGATGTTGTCAAAAGGATAGAAATATGAGGTTTATCTTGATATTGCCCCTGCTAACAAAACAACACACGGAGGGCAACTATCTGAGTTAACGCATATGTATAGAAATATTAAAAAGCATATTAGTTCCTATACCAGTTTAAGGTAGCTATATTGGTAAAAACAAGGTGCAAAAAGAATAATTAATATTTGAGGGATCAGAGAATCAAGAGAATAACTACATAATTAATTAGTTGAAAATAGCTCAAATTGGAGCGGTACATGTGCAGCTAAAATAACCCATGCATGGAATACCTACAAGCATGTGCAAACAGGTACATATAAAGGGTGCATTTTGTAGACAATTTCTGCTGAATGAAAGCCCCACTGATGGCAACCAGATGCAAGATTGCCTGAGTTGACCATATTAATAATTCTAAGCCCAGCCCCCTCCATACCATCAATCAATTTGTAGGATATGAATAGTGAATATTGCACATGGGTTTTCGAGGACAACCTCATTTTCTTTTGATACGAGTCTTATCTTTAATATACGGAGTTCTGGTTGTACACTCAAAAGTCGAATTTTATATAAATATCAACATGTAACAGTGATATAAATTTGTAGTTTCCAATTTCCAGTACATTAACAGAGTGGTCCTCATTTAACTATAACATCAGCAGCAGCAGTGATAAACTCACACATATAAAACCTATGAAATTTCATCACCAATTCAGAATTGCATGGTAAACACGAATCCCATTATATACCTGTTCTACTCCGTACAACTAATTTATATATATATACTTGCCCTACTCCATACCAAATTTAGTAATTGCATGCTCTTAGGGCATATAATTTGTACCTCTATCTGTCCATGTTCAAATGTCATTACTGAAGATATAACCAATTGCTAAAGGGGAGCTCTTATGGTATAATAGATAATGTTTTTTTTGTTTTGAAATGAGGCATTCATGAGCTGCAAAGAATGTGAAGAAATTGGTTCACAAAGGCGGCACGAAGGTGGTGGTGCCCAGGCGCGGTTCCAATCCGGTGGTGGTGGATGGTGGCACCGGCATTGTCGGCGAAGACTGGAACCCAGGCCTGGCGGCAGGCTTGTTACCTGCAAGAAGAATTTCACTGATTAGTTTGCCTCTTGACCTCTTATTCTGATTAACAGGAAGAAAATTTGATATAGACAAATCAAAATATGAACTCAGTTTGGTAGATCAGAAATAAATCAAGAAAAATCACAAGCAGATTTCAGAATATTAAATCCACATGAACACAGATTCTACATTAAGCTGCATTGCCCTCGACATTATGAATTCATCTATGAAATTATTCCATGAACAAACAACACATCATATCTGACTTTGGATTGTACCCAGCAATTTAAGATCAACACTAAAAGATGTATCACATCTGAGCTGACTTCAAGGGTCAGTGATATTGTACACATTTCTTTTACTTGTAAATGACAAATCCATTTTTCTTCTAGGGTCACTGATACTTGTAAATGACAAATTCATTTTTCTTCTAGGGTCACTGATATTTTACACATTCCTTTTTCTAGATATTCAGAAGAAAGATATATTAACCCATGCCAAGTTTTGTTTTTCTGAATTCATTTTTCATCCGCCCGATTGACTCGAACAAGAAAAAAGAGAAACTGAAGACCTGGCAGTTCAATCAAATATATACTCTCCATCAATTTTTGTACAACGAAGACCTGGCAGAAGAGGAGGAACTGAAGGAGGCACTCACGGATCGGCGGGCGGCGTGGTCGTGGTCGATGGGGATCGGCGGTGGCGTGGCCGCGGAAGACGTGCGGGCGACGGTCGATGGGATCGGCGACGAGGGAGGCGGCGTCGCGAGGGAGGGGATCGGTGGCGGCGCGCGATGGAGGATCGGCGTGAGGCGTGGTCGTGCTCGACGGGGATCGACGGTGGCGTGGCCGCGGAAGACGTGCGGGTGACGGTCGATGGGGATTGGCGGCGAGGGAGGCGGCGGCGCGAGGCCGGGGATGGAGGGCGGCGGGTAGGGAATCGCGAGGGGAGGAGGGCGATAGGAATCGGTGGCGCTGCGGAGCAAATTGAGGGGCGGCGCGGGGCGTGGAGATCGGCGGCGAGATTGAGGCGCGTGACGGGAGTTACGGGAGAAAGAGAGAATAAAGGGAAGAAGTTACGGGAGAAAGAGAGAGGGGGAGGGGAGGCCAATCTGCGCGCGAGGGAGAGCCGGAGAGGTGGGTGATCTAGATCGTTGGTTGCAGAGCATATGATTTTGGCCGTTGGATTTGTCCAATGATGAATGAGTATGAGTAAGATGAGTTGGTGCATTATAGGGTAGATGTTTTTTTTCTTTGAAATCCCTAAAGGAATTTTAAAGAAGCTGGATTTTTACAGATCCAGATTTTTTTGGCAATGTGATGAGCACAAAAAGAAGTATAGGTTAGCTAAATGGAGTGTGTTGTGTAGACCTAAGGAATGTGGGGGGTTGGGAATCCAAAACCTAGAAATGCAGAACAAGTGTATGCTTAGTAAATGGATTTTCAGGTTGATCAATGAAGACGGAATTTGGTAAAGTTTGCTTAGGAAAAAATATTTGACAAAGAAAACCATTTTGCAAGTCCAAAAAAGACCAGGGGACTCACATTTTTGGGCTAGTCTCATGTTAGCCAAAGAGTCTTTTCAAAGGTTTGGTTCCTTCTTTTTACAAGATGGCTCAGAAGTAAGATTTTGGGAGGATTGTTAGATAGGAGTTCAATCCTTTGAGAAGGAGTATCCTAACCTCTACAATCTAGTTAGAAATAAAAATGAGGTGGTGGCCAAGGTAATGAGTGGAATACCAATGTGTCTTTCAGAAGATCAATAGTGGGAAGAAACTTAGAAGCCTGGTATGAGCTAGTGTCGAAAGTTGTTAACACTGTATTGACAGATCAGAAAGATCGCTTCTCTTGGAAAAACAATAAAGAAGGCATTTTCACAGTAAAATCTATGTACAAGTTGCTCATGTATGAAGGGCTGGTTCCTAGGAAGAATTTCATTTGGAAGCTCAAAATTCCACTTAAAATCAAAATTTTCTTGTGGTACCTCAAGGAAGGGGTAATTCTCACTAAGGATAATCTAGCAAAGAGAAGGTGGAAGGGTAGCCTAAGTTGTTGTTTTTGTAACTCTAAGGAAACAATACAACACATTTTCTTTGATTGCTCAATGGCTAGGTATATTTGGAGTGCGCTCCTTTTTACATTTGGGATTAGGCAACCGTGTAGCATGTCTCAAATGTTTGGGAATTGGCTGAATTTTGTTGAACCTAGGCTCAAGAGAATATTGTTTGTGGGCATAGCTGTATTTCTTTGGGCAATTTGGTTATATAGGAATGATGTGGTCTTTAATGGCTCCAATCCTACATCTTTCTTGCAGGTCATTTTCATGGAAACACATTGGGCAAGGACTTGGTCTTTGCTTCTTAAGGGAACCGATGAAGAAATAGTTAAGAACTATTGCAAAGTGCTGGAGAAGCGTGTGGTGAAATTCTTCTCCGTGTATGGCTGGAACCTTAGAAGAAGATGGGAAGCCTAGTCTTTTCTTCGTTTGTTGTTCTTAAAACCTTTGTGCTGTCATCTCTTATGTAATGGGAGAGGTCAGTTGATACATTTTGTACCCTTTTATTAGGGAGAGTCTTATGTACTCGTGTTCGGATTTTTGGCTGTGTACACCCCACAAAGGTGTAGAGGCCGGGTTTGATAATCCTTTATCTTAAAAAAAAATGGTGACGATGGCGGCTCAGTGGTCGACATTGGCTCACGGCGGCGCGTGGCACAGCTCGGTGGTCGGCGACGACGTGTGGCGCGGCGTTGTGCGGCGGCGGTGGGAACAACGGGCGACGGCGGCAACAAGCAGTGGGCGGCGGCAGCTAGCAGCGGTGGCAGCGGCTTCGCCGCGGCGGCGGCGAATGTAGGGCGCCACGGGGTGGCCCCTGGTTTTGCGGCGGCGGCGCGGTGGTAGCGTGGCGGCAGCGGACGGCTTGGGCGGCGCGACAAAGGCGGCGACGCTGGGATTGGGCGAGATGGCAGCAGCGCACATGGTGTTGTTGACAGCGGCGGCTGCGCCCATTGCAGGAGGAAGGAGGGATGTGGTTCGGACTTGGGCAAGCTGGGCCAACTGGGCCGAAGGAAAAACGGAAAAAGAATGGGCCAAATGAAGGGTTTTTGGTCCAATTTGAATAGGGATTGCTATGAATTTTGTATAGAGAGTTTGGAAAGGGAAACAAAGAAGATAAAATCTAAAAGATGAATGTATGTGGATGCTCAGGACTTGAATAAGGAATTTGAATGGAATTTAAAGGAAATGGAAATCAAAGCATGGTTGGATGGGTGGATGTAGACCTTTTTGGATTTTGGCCAAGGAATAAAATAGGATTTCAAGGAAGTGAAAACTAAAGGAGTTTATTTGTGGATTTTGAACTTTAGACAAGAAATTCAAAGGATATGGATCTAAAGAAAGAGATTGGTGGACTTTTTAAAATTTGGAAAAGAAATTATAAAGGGATTTCTAAGATAGGAAACCTAAGGGAATTTTGAATTGAGAGTTTTAAATAAATTTCAAAGGAGATAAAATTTAAAAGAGAAATGTTTGAGGTCTTTTGAACTTTATAAAAAGAATTTAAATATAAAGTTTTTAAAACAAAAGGGGTTTGAAATCAAGATATTTAATTTTGAGTTATAGATTTTAAAAAGGATAAAAATAAAGATGCTCCAATTTTAAAAGAATTCAATAAGGATCAAAATGCTCCAATTTTATAGAACTCAATAAGATCCAAATATAAAACTTGACGCAAATATTTTCTTTAATATTTAAAAATTAAAATAATCAAATGGGAAGGAAAGGCAATAATTTAATTTCTAACTTTGGATAAATTTGTGATGGTGGCAAAATAAATGGAAGGGAAGCAAATAGGACTTTAGCCCCAATATATGTGGTATGGATTCTCGGTGATTTATTGGTGGGCTAAATGAAATTGGATTTTGTACGGAAGGGATTAGAAATAGGTTTCTTAGCACAAGAGCAATCATTCTGGAAATATTATTCTAGTGCCAGAAAGAATCAAACCTAAACTGGCGGTTTGATTTATAGATAGAAGATTTTGGATAGTAGAACATCTAAAGGAGTTTGTGGAAGGTGTTGTATGAAAGAGAACAAGGATTTCTAAGGATAGGTCTAGGTCAAGGGTTATATCCAGAATAAATTCCCGCAAAAAGGAAATTATACCGGTTTAGCCCCAAAGATAAAAATGGTTAATGGGATATAACAGAGAGTCGGGTCAATCGGGGAAATATTGGCCCAAGCTAAATAGTAGACTTTGGAATCTTGAATGGATAATTTGGAGGAACAGGATTTCAAAGGGGAAATATTTGTGGGAGTATATAACTGGATTCAAAGAAAATATAATTTAGAGCCAAAGCTAGAGATTAAATAAAATAAATGGAAAGGTTTTATAAAATTTGGGAAAAAACAAAATAGAGAATAAAATAAAGATTTTAAAGAAGAGAACTTTTAACTTAGCAAACAAAATCTAGATCCAGGTTAAAGAAAAAGGAAAAAGTAAGATTACTCCAACGGAAGAATCGAGAAGAACATGACTTAAAATATTCCGCAAAAATTTTTCCCTGAAATTTGAGTCCGTTACACTTTTGTACCAAGTTCTCCACTTTTTTGCAGACAATTGTCAAGCTCTAAAGGTTGTTGACCACTTGGCTAGATTAGGCTTGGTTTGTCTAAATGGGATTCTATTGGTTTCGGTGTTGATGCAATGAGTAGGGTTAATATTGCCCATCAGACCAAGAAAGAAATGTGATGGCTCTTGCAACATGGGGATCATAATCTGGTTTCTAAGGTACTGAAAATAGAAAAATTGAGGAAGAAGCCCTAAGTATGAAGAAATAGAATAGGATGAAGTATGAATTACAGAAGATTGATGAGAAGCAATGGATTTACCTCAGGGACATCAGAAGTGGTCGCCATCGATCTTGAGCGGAGAGGTTTGCCGTCAGAAATTTGCGTCGCCAAGTGTTGATGTGAAAACACGGCGGCCTGGGAGATCTGCTTAACTCCAGTGCAGGTCCAAGGCTAGACTCGAGTGTGTCAAGGGCGTGCCAGCTGGTTTGATCCTGCAATCAGCAAGAGAGATAAAAGCAGAATTAGTCAGACAATAGCCGATCAGCCGGAAGGTTGATAGTGTATCGTTCGTGGTCTCAGCCGATGGAGTTAGACCAAATCGGCTATGTACTGAGTATATCAAAGAATATTAAACTCTAAACATGCCTAATCGGTTGTCATACCGTCTATCAAGTTTAATAAATTGGTTTAAGACAATATTGTGAAAGTAGCCGATGCGACAATATTTAGAGCAAGAAAGATAATGTACTAGCTAATACTCTAGTATGAACCTATATAAACAGATTGATATATATAAACATATCAAATAGAAATCAGGCATGAAGGTGCAAGAAATCTAGCCGATACTGACTAAAGCTTGACATGCATATATAAAACGAAGTATCTATATAAGTGGTGAATATACATGAAACAAGTAGTAAAACATGTATATTAGGTAAGATCAGCTGAAACCCCGATACTTAGGGATGCAAGTGGGGCGGGCAAGTGTGCTTTTTTGTCCCGCTTATCCCACTTCTAATTTATTTTTTCTTCTAAATTTTGTACTACCATGCAAAAAATAGACTAGCAAGCGGGTTTTTATGCGGGTAGTGGGACTACCCACTTGCATCCCTACCGATACTATCCTTATTATGTCTAGTTGTTGGCTTGTTTGCATGGTTCTAGGCTCGTTTGCATGGTTCTAAGCACGACTAGACAATCAAGCAGTTAAACACTTTTCAGGATGGTAGATACATTAGCTAATCTAATCTAGCAAGACAATTTAGCCGAAACCAGCATAAACCCTAAAGCAAGCAGCGGCCGATAAAGCTAAATTGAGAAGCTAAGAATAGTTTAACTAATACATATGATAGCAATGACTCGCGATATCGAGCCTAACACGTCTAAAGCAACATGTTAGCCCTGATAGCGCGGGCCATTGAGACGAATTAGCTCTTGTGAAGAAATCACCAAAAAGAGGAAAAGTAAAAAGGGTGGCGATGCGCCGAAGTTGTATTGGATTGGCTCCCGTATTACAATGCTATG